TGACCTCCCGAACACCGGGCGGGCGCTCTATCCACTGAGCTACGAGAACTCATGGAGAGCGAGGTCATTTAACTGAGTTCATATATGATAGGTGTCCTACATACTGTTAGGATCAACGCTATCGAAGTCATTGTGAGTAGTGATAAGTTAATAAAGACGGTGAATTTTGAGCTCGGTAATGAAATGTGAAGGTGAATTAATCAAAATTCACCATCTTTATTAACTTATCACTACTCACGATGACTTCAATAGTGTTGATCCTAGCAGTATGCAGGACACCTATCATATATGAACTCAGTTAAATGACCTTGCTCTCCATGAGTTCTCGTAGCTCAGTGGATAGAGCACCTGCCCCGTGTTCGGGAGGTCATGGGTTTGACTCCTGTCGGGGACTCAGAATTTTTCTTTGTCCCACTCTCGTGTCATGTTGATTAATTCACCTTCACATTTCATTACTGTTTTTATACATTTTTACAATTTTCCGAAGGAGAATTTGGCTTTTAACTTAACTTTTTTTCCCAAGCTGTTTATGTGATAATATATTCTCCTCACCAGTCTACATGGCAATGTATCACTCCTGTAAGGAGATATTAGCTGCTGATACCTCACTCTCACCTTATGGTAGAAGGCAGCACCAGTAAGGACCATGGAAAGTTCACAGGTATGCTCTGAACTGTAAAGCCATTGTTTATTCTGTGAATCCCAAGCATGAAACCTTGCAGGAAATCCCACGATACGATCTCTTGCTTCTCGCCAAACTCTGAATAAGAGAAAATTTTAACAAATTCTGTTGATTATGGAGAAAGCAAGTTACGTTCTCTTCACTCTGTGCAATGTGCACATGAGCAGTTGTTTGAAGCAAATATGTTACACAAACCTGAAACCCAGGAGTATTTCATCATGTCGCATTTCTACATCATCATCAATGGAAAAAATAGCATCAGTCTCAATGACGTCGTATGGAATAAAACGGTTGTTCAAACTGTTCTTAGCTACTTTCACGACCTGTTGAAAACAGAAAACAAGCAATATGAAAAAGTAAACATTGGTAGAAATCTAATGGGATGATTAAATGACATCCATGACTACATGTAGTTAGAGCAATGCCATAAAGGTCCAAACAATCACGCTTTTGTGAGAGTCATATCTAGTCTGTCATCACCTTTATAGCAATATCTCATTGCATGGTTCAGATAACATTATTGACAGAACTTACATGAACTGGCACCCCAATGTCAGGCCATCTAAGAGACAAAGAAGGTGGCTCTGGACTATTCCACACAACGATGACTTTGTTAAGGTACGGTAACCCAACAAGACGCTGAATGGCTTCTATAAGCACTAGTTCTCTCTCGTACGTCAAAATGACAATAGTAAATTGTTCCACTGGGTAATTACCACCCAAAGCCTTGTTAAACTCTGCTCCTGCTCCGCCCATTCCATCCCCGATGAGTTCGAATCCTTTGCTGGAATTCCTAAATGGTGCTGAAGAAGGTAAAACAGGAGTAAACGGCATGCTTGGAAACATTCTGAAAGAACCTGGAGGAAAATTCCACACATTGTAGGCATCTACAACAGTTGATGTTAAATTTCGAAAGAAAGTTGGAGATTCTAACGCAAGGCTGATTATGGCATCTGGGTCTGGAGAGCTTGTAACAGGGGGCTTGGAATCACTGAAGACTGATGGTGTCGGAGAGGCAGACACATGATGAGCAGGAATTGACAAGCGGGTTCTTAAAGTGGCCAGCACAGTTTTCAAAATAACATCAGTAGTTGAAAGGTATGTCTCCCAAAGGAATCTGCCCTGTCGACGCAAGTCAAGAATATCTTCAGTTGTAATTGTTCTGAGTAACACGTTCAATTCAGGGAGCCGAGCTTGTGATAGAATGATTGCAGCTTTCCTCCAATCAATCACATCATTAAAAGGAAGAATGGCTTTGCTTGATAATATCACTGGGATAGCTCCAGATTGTAATGCCTCAAGCAGCCGGATATGACAACTGTCCCAGCTGGAGCTGGCACTGTTTGATCCTACTATTAAGGTAAAAGTTGATTGTCTAAGAACCTTTGTTCTGTTTTCAGGGCTTGCCCATAACAACCATTCACTAGTTCCCTTTAAATATTCCAATTTTGATAGATAAAGCTCAATTAAGAAGTCTCCAGCCTCTCTGGATATATCGTTAAGTTGATCACGTAGAATGGCCATCGTTTCGGTAAGATGATCAGCATGTTCCGCTTGAAAACTCAGCAAATATTTCCTTCTTGCTGGTAGCTGTAAAGCAGCAAGATGCCACACGTCTCCCTTGAGGGGTCCAATCGATGGTGGTA